GAAAAGAAATAGCATTGTACAGGGTGAAATTGTAGAAGAAGAAGAGGGTGTTGATTCTGACCAACATGCTAATAATAATAATACTACCTCAGAGGTAGATTCCTCTGTACAAAAGCTACCTTTTTTTAAGCGTGCATTACCGCCATTGCCGAAAAGCAATGGGCATGTAGGATGTGTCGAACAAGCGGAAGATGCGCTTACAACGATGGTATCTAAGTGTGAAAGTCCAACTTCTATACCACCACAAATGCCTCTACCTGCGCCAAAAGTCGAGGACGAACCAGCAGAAGATACCAGCATGGATTTTGCTGCTAGTATTGAGAAAGTAAAGGATGTATGTAACATATACATTTTATTTCCTTTTTAAAGTTATTATATTATGTTGGACATTAAGGTATATTATAATTATTAAATTTTATTTATAATAGTATGGATGGTATTGGGGCCCAATATCTGGTGAAGCTGCAGAGAAAATACTGTCGAATGAACCAGACGGATCATTCATTGTACGAGACAGTAGCGATGATCATTATATTTTTTCCTTATCATTTAGGCTTAACAGCTGTGTGCGACATGTAAGAATTGAGCACGATCAGGGTAAGTTTTATGTTTTTATTGATACAGTTTTTCTATACACCGTCATTTTTTTAATACAATTTTAATGTCGTGTGCGCATTGTATATGTAGGTAATTTCAGCTTTGGAAGTTGCACAAAATTCAAGTCTCATACAATTGTCGACTTTATCGAGAATGCGGTAGAACATTCACGTAGTGGACGATATTTGTTTTTTCTTCATCGACGGCCAGTGTTAGGTCCAATGCGTGTGCAACTTCTTCACCCAGTGTCAAGATTTAAACAGGTTCAAAGTTTACAGCATACATGCAGATTTGTTATTTTGAAGATGGTACGCAGGGATCTTATTCCCACTCTACCTCTGCCTCGGCGGCTCATTGATTACCTGAGCACGCCTCATTACTACAGTGAACAGTTAGCTGAACAGGACGATAGAGCTGAATCTCCTGTTAGTTCTTCAACTGGTGAATTAGAGAAGATTTGTTTCACACCACAAGGCCTATCGTGAGGTACAAATATATAATCTTTTGTCCTTCATTTTTGTGAAATACTTGCCAAATGTTTAGTATGTATGGTTTAAGATTTAAGATTTCACACAATTTCGTTCCATATGATTTTGTTAAAGAATATTACGATTAAATATGGGAATAACCTATTTTTACATATATTATACGTTAAATTAAATTTGAAATATACAATTTTTATATCTGTTTGAAAAGAAGGGTAATCCGTTCCACGCAGTTCGTATATAGAAAAATATGGTTAATCGCATAAAAGTACTAAACGAATTGGAAAGCAAAAGGTAAAATTACTTCGAAGATAATTTTCAATCAGAATTCATATTGACACGATTAAAAATGCACAAGTAGATTGATATCAGATCTTGAATTTATGATTTTCTCATTTTGTCATAAAATGATTTCCAGAGCACTTATACAATAATCTCAACAAATTCTATGTTATCAGTTTTAATATAAGTTCCTGTCTTTTATTTTAAAATACCTTTACGAGTTCATACGATGCAATGAATGTATAATATTCATATATGTATAATGATGCAAAACGGTGATCGAATAACTCCTTCTTGCGTGCCATATATCTCGTACTACTCTGTTCATATAGACATTAAAATCATAATGTTCTTTATTCATTGGTTTTTAGTTAATAAATTATGCTTTTGCCAGAGATTATTCAGTTATGCATTTCATTACTTTCTGTAAAAGTTTAAAATACGTTTTTTAACGTAAATAGAAAGAATATGAATATAGTTAATCTACATCCTACATTTGACGTTCCACTTTATTGAATGATCAATATAGAGTCAATAAATAATTTTAAATATGATGCACATGCAAGCAATTATGGAAAGATGCTGTAGACTAACACATTATATTAAGGTATAATCTGGCATATATAAATATCAGTTATATCTGTCAACTGTAGAATATTCTCAATATTAATCAGTTCAACATGTTGTTATATCGTGTTTTAAGTTTAGAAGTAGCTGCCACAGACTGATTAACTTAGACAAAATATTCAACGAATTAATGGAATCATAATATAGTATAAATATTTTCATTCAAGCATCAATCGTATTTTTCCGCAAATTATTATCATAATCATTTCCAAGAATAATCTTTGGATGGGACATGTTATTTTAGATTGCTTTATAATGTAAATATTTTTGTGTACATTACTTGATTTTATAGAATAATTAAATCGCCAGGAATTTATTAATATCTGGCACATTAGATATATATATATTTTGTGATTCTTTAAGTCTATAAAGGATAATTAATATATGATGTGCAATCTTTTAAATGTATTACACTTGTTTGCATTCTTTATAGCCAATTTTAAAATAAGGTTTAATGATATTTACCTTGAAAGGGTAAGAGCTTCTTTGTTAAAACTGATTAGCGACTGGTGCTATATAAAATTATAAATTATAGAATTCTGATTCCTTAAATTATACAGTTGAATCAAGATAATCGAAGTCACTGTTTATTCTTGTGCTCAGATAAACTTAGCAAGATTACATCGTGCAATGCACTTGATCGAATTTAGTTATATTATATATTTAATTTTTGGTAAGTGGTAGTTTTACCTATGTAAATGATTCTTTTTTAATTCGGATAAAGTTCCCGAAACTTACATTCTCGAATTATATTTGATTTGCAATTATTATATAGATTTTAGATTGTAGCTTAATACTAAGAATTTATATAAGTCAAGTGAAAAGTTTTCAATTTACAATTTCGACTAACCAAATCGAAAAGTAGAGAGGAGCTTCAGATAAGATTTAGTAAATTGTAATGATACATATTTTTATTTTTGTCCCTTACCTCTGAAGAGATGTATAAACTCATCTTCAGAAACAGAGACATTACTTTGATAAATTTTGTATTGTGTAATGTTATACAGAGCTCGCTATGAAGCATTGATATAAAGATAGATTTTTCAAGAAAGGAGAAAGTTTTTATACAAAATATGTACTAACTGTTACTACAAAAATTTATTAACGAATCTCTGTTTTATTTTATCTTTAAATTGCTTTTCCTGTGCAGCTTCATCAATCATGGAATAGCAAGGGCCACATATACATACATATTGCTCAGAAGTTTTTGTTGCACTTTCGTGAACTTTGCAGTACTAAATAAACAAATTTTATACTCAATATTCACGTGGTAGATTTTGCAATATAATTACTATTACCAGATTGTCTGACAAGACTATGTCTAAGGATAAATCTAAACATATGTGAAGCATGTGCGTATAATTAATGGTTAAAGGCACCATGATACCTCAGCCACAGTGGCAGGTATATAGAGCAGAATTAGTACCATTTTATAACAAATGTATTTTACATTAATATAAGTTGCACATACGTATTCTTGTGAAGAAATTAGCATTATTGAAAAATATCAATACTTTATTCGATTATGTTTCACTGCTATTAACATCAATATTGAAAAAAAAAAAAAAAAATACGAAAATTCTATGCCAAGTGCTATTGGACGATATAATATATGTTCAAAAGATATTTCTTTTATGTGATTATATATAAGTAAGCGTGGCATTGAATAACAGCTTCGTATTTTTATAATGTCTCTCCAATGAGGATATGTAGAAAGTAACAAATTTAATTCTACATTTTTGATACCAAAATGTGATATTATCGTTAATGTAAAAGTTTGCAATTGACCGTACATTTTCAAGACAAAGTGTTCTTTCATGGTATTAAAATATTCTTGAAGGAGTATCCTTTTAAATAGAAAATCTTTAAATCTGATTACGAAAATGTATGGTTCAATTTAATATTTAATTAGAAAATTATTATAACAAATCTTTTATAAAAAAGAAGGGAAATGCACTTGGCATAGAACAATAATTTATTTCTTATATGCCAAAGTTTATAATTGTATTCAAAGTATAACATTACTTTATCAATTAAGATATTGTGTTAAAATACACGTTATTTATGTATTGTTCTAGAACGCTATTTTAGCCCACTATATATACATATATTTGTATATGTATATTCGGTTTTGCAGAATTGTATAAAAATAAGTAAATGTATGCAAAGGGTACCATAACAAAAGTAGAAAAGTTAAAGGTTACTTGTACGAGTTATATTTCTGAGACACGCGATGTCGTAATTTGATTATAATGTTCCGATATATACAATTTTTTATTATTGTTTATTATAAATAATTGACAAGTGCTAGTCATAAACATTGCGTCTTAAGTTGGAGTTCAGTATTGTTTACTAATAAATATCAATTTACTTCCAAATATTTGTATTTATTTTTTTATCTTTTTCAAAGATATAATCCAAACATATTTTCAATAGAATGGAGCGCTAAAACTATGTAAGTTCTTTGTTGTTATTGTAATAATTATTCTTTCTTAAATTATGATTTTATATTCTTCAATTTATTTATTCTAGTCTAATATAATTTATCACCAAGTTCGATGGCTATTAGAGTGAAGGATGCATGATAATCAGAAACCTATCACAAATCTTTCAATTTTGTAAATATTTAAAGTAATATGAGGCATGCTTTCCAACATGCACAACAGAAGTGTGCATGACTTATTGAAACATTAACAGATGTATTACACTACAAAAAAGAAAAAAAAAAGAGAAAGAAAGAGAAAGAAAAAAAAGGACAATCTTCGTTTGCTTTTATGATAAAAGAACTTTAAGTTTAAATTCAAAAAAATATCCTACTTTTATAAGCCTTTTTCATCTACAATTAAGTTTCTATAATTTTGTAATGGTAACATTAATTTTACTATAAGTTTTGAATGTACAAATTTCGTTACACTCCACAAATATCTATAATGTACTCATCCAAAATGTTATTTCAGCTTCTTTTTGTAAATATTTTTCAATATCGCAATAAAATGATTTAACAGAGAATTGTTTACTAGTGAATACTTAGTACTATGTTCGTAATTGTAATACATTCATTATTTACATAGTTTAATTATACGTAATTTGTAATTCATTTGCACAACTCAGATTTCCCATATCTTTGAGCACAAGAAAAAATTTTGTTCATTACTTCATTAACTAATTCAGTCAAAGGTACTCTAAGTGTAAACAAATGCATATGTATTTGATTACCCATGTTTGTACGGCAATGTTGAAAATAAAATACATTTTTTAAGACTAATATCCTGAGTTGTTAATTCGTTTTTAATTCAATACTTTTATCACTATTACACATGACCGTAAAACATGTTTGTAAGTACATATCACATTCCAATAAAATTTTAATTCAAACATAATATGTATTTTACACTGAATCGTATGATATTTTAATTACAATTTTGTTTTCAATAAAGTATTAAACATCTTAATTTAAGGTGGAATACCAAGTGTTTTTCTAACTAGCTTTTGGGCGATTTTTTCAAATTCTGCGCGATCTTCTCTCCACATTTTAGCTGCATCAACATTTGCTCCACTTTCATCATTTGGCTCTGCTAACATACTTACCACACTTAACAATATCTTTTCTACACTTTGAACCGGACTCCACCTTTCTGCACTGCTTTCATAGCCCATAGGATCGTCACCGGGTGCATGTAATATACTTATACATACTCTACCATCTACATAAACTAAAGAAAGGTAAATTCTTGTTAATTTTTGGGGATTCATGATGAATCGATGTAGTAATTTGATATTTCAATAAAAAAAATCTTACTATTTGGATGGAACATTTCACAAGTGAATTGCATCTTTGGCGGACTTAGTGGGTAATCTGGTGGAAATATAAGTTTTGCAGGAAAAACACCACCTTCGAAGCATGTTCCTTCTGGTCCACTATAAACATGCATGCATGACGCATGTTGACGTTCAACTTGTAAAATTCAAAAGAAGATGGAAATATGGGGCAGACATTTTATTATGAACACGTTATGCATAAAAACGAATTTTTGCGGGTGAAGAAAAGATTTTTATAAATAAAAAAAACAAATTTTTATTGCTTAAATACGTACGTGATTAAGGCTTCCCATTCGAAAAAATTTTCTTCATTTATTGGACCAGCGATAATACCTTCAGGTGGATTTAAGGTTAACTCTGCAAGTTATGCAGTACTTGTTACATTATCGTTTAAAATCAAATAGAAAGAATAGCAAAAGGAGAAGTTTTATACGACTTCTTTAGTGTAGTGTCAACTGCAAGAAATTAAATTTGATTCTCACGTTTGTACTCTGCCATCAATCGTCTCAGTGCAGAACCCGCCATTGTTTTGGTCATAGGGGTTAATAACGGCGATTTAATGAAACGTCAAAAATTGAATATTAGGTTAAAACTGGTTAAAGTAACAGACAGACAGAGAGAGAGAGAGAGAGAGAGAGAGAATCATTGACGCATTTATACGTAATTAAAGAAACAATTAATCGTTTTATATCTTATATTGTTCTTAAACTGGAACAATGCGACAATGTAATGTTTTAAATGGCGACAGAAGAACATAAATATTTAGCAGATATTATAAAAAATACACATGCCACGTTGCGACAAGAAGCTCAGGATTACGGTCCTGAGATTGCATGGAAACGACACATATGTCGTAAAGACATTTTGCAGGTTTGTTTAATTTTTTCTATAAATATTAAGATAAAATAATAGTGGTATTCGCGCGTAAGATATTGCAAGATAACCTTATGTATGTGTTTTAGAAATATGCTTCTTGTATGGTAAAATTGGCAACTATCCACTGGATGGAAAATAACTTAAACACCAAGAGTTCAACGTATTCGAGAATAGAATGGATCAAATATCAATGTGAAGAATATTTTTTAAACGAAGGAAGACAGAAATATGATTTGAGAGAAGAAGATATTAAACTGAAAATAGACACAAATTTGTCAAAAACTGAAGTTGCCATAAATTGTACTGTAAATATTAAATGTCAGGAAAATCAAATATTGGAAAACTTCGATAACGATCTTCAGAAGTCAGTTCAAAAGATATTATTATTGGATGTAGGCAGTTGTTATAATCCATTTGAAGCTCTAGATATATTTGAAGTAACTGCAATAGATCTAAGTGGTATACCAGATAAAGTTTTTTGTTGTGACTTTTTAAATGTTCAAATCGGACAAGAAACATTATATTCAAACGATAAAGAAGAAGTTTTGCAATTGCCTGAAAACTATTTTCAGGTAGTTGTATTTTCTTTATTTTTGGAATATTTACCCTGCCCAAAACAAAGATATTTATGTTGTAAAAAAGCCTATGATTTATTGCAACCAGGTGGTATACTTTTTATCATAAGCCCTGATTCAAAACATGTTAATGCAAATGCCAAGATCATAAAATCATGGAGATACGTCCTTAGTAAATTAGGATTTATGAGAATAAAATACGAAAAATTGCAACATATACATTGCATAATATTCAGAAAATGTGTGTTTAAACATGTTGCGTCAAGGTGGGCGAATTTGCAAGTACTGCCGCAGGATGATCCTTTATTTTTAGATGATACTTCAATTTATATTCCGCAAGATTTCCGAGATGTATCTAACAAAATTAAAGAACGAGATAAACAAGAGTACGATACGAATGAAGTAATGACTATGTTCAATGAATTACCTTTTGAGCAAATGTAACACAAGCAAGATTAACGGTTAATTTTTATTTTTTAAAATTGTAAACATAGATAAAACTCTGATAAAGAATTGCAGTAAAAAATAAATATTGACATTTTTAACTAGTTTTGATGAATCTTATTTTTATTTTTTCAGATTGTGTCATGTTAATTCTAGCGACGGAAATATTTTATGGTGATTTTTTTTTTATGTTATATCTGGTTACGTATAGGGACATACTTTCATATAGTTTCCTAGAATTCATCTTATTCATTTTACACGCCATTTTGAATGTTCTTTTCTAACTTCTGTTCGTTAGGTGCACACGTGGTGAGATTACTTTTACCGTTTATGATATTTGGATATCGTATTTTTTATTAGCTGTAACGTCTAATAAGGTAGATCGATCAAGTATTTCGTTAAAAGAAACCGAAGAATTTAGCAAATTTTTAATAAATTGAATAGAAAATACTTTATTTTCTTTGATCACTGTATAGGTTATCATGCAGATGCCAATTTTCATATTTATGCATGTACATAGGTAAGATTAATGCAAAATTTTAATATATATAATTCTTTCAGATCGTTCAAAATGTCGTCCCATTTAAATTGGATGATTATTCGCAATAATAATGCATTCCTTTTGAAGAAACGTAACATTAATAAACCATTTTCTACGGTTTGTATTACATATACACTGTTGTATGATCGAACGATTTTCTTTTCGCAGCTAATGACTTTCATGAGAATTTATAGTTTGACGTGTGATATAAACTTTCAGGAACCAAATAATTTGAACAATTTGAGTAGCTACCGTTATTCTGGTTTGATTCATAGGAAAAGCGTAGGTGTTGTTGATACGGCTGATAAAAAAGGATTTACTGTAGTATATAAAAAAGCTAAAGCTATGAACAAGCCTGCAAAAGCTACGGTTAGGTGTACAATGAAAGCCGGAGCTCGTCGTTCTCTATATAAGTTGAAGCGATTGCTTACAAAGAACAAGTATCGTGTAGACCTTACAAAGGTAAATTAATTTGGAATAAGAAGTAGAATATATTTATAACCTATTTAAAAGGAGTTTTAATACACGTAATACTTTCAGGCTGCCTTACGTCGTGCTAGTGCTGTGTTACGTTCTCAGAAGCCTTTACCCGCTAAGAAGACCCGTACAACCAAAAAGGCTGATTAATTTGTGTACATTAATAAATATACATTTTAATGTAAATTTACAGACATGACATATACTGTGAAGAAGATTTATTAACTTATTAATTATTTCACCAAGATGTAACTAATTTAGCTGCCTACGATAATAGTCATTTATAGATAGTTTAATTTTAATTGTAGTATTTCTTCTTTACAGTTATATTCAATATATTTATTTAAAAATTCCTATTAAAAAGATTGCACATAGATAAGCGTAAAAGATCGTACATACATTGTGAAAGGTGAGTTATCTAATCCGATATTTGGTTTGGAAAATATGTTTAAGTTGATATTATTTATTTCAATTACAGAATTAGTATATTGCTAGGATATTAGGAAGGCATTTTTACTTAGGTGAGTTGCATCGTTTTTTTTGGCTCCGACGACGATGATTCTTTTAACCAGCAAGATCGACGATTGATATGGTTAAATTTTGTATTTGCTATCTGTAACACATGTCGTGGATATTATTTATATGTAAGCTTGAATAGAGCAATATCATTAATATTAACAATATTTCTAGGTTTAAATGCAAATGTACTTGGTTGTTCCGCAGCGTCAAAATCGAGCGAGTACAATTTTTTAATATTATGTTAATTAGTTTTCTCCGTGAGGCAATGTTACGACAAAACTTTTTAACCACCAAGATTTATGAGTGCCGTGATTAGTTACAGTATTTGCTAACTGAAATATATAAATGACAATGTTACTTTACAAAGATAAGAATATTGTTATTGTTAAATATAAATCATTTCAGGTCCATAGACTAAAAACGCTTGCCGAAGGCAATTATAGCAAAATGTAAGTATAATGTTTTATTAATCAGATTATCTATTATTAACTATAAATGATGAGATCTCGAACCACCAAGATTTATGAATGCCATGATTAGTCACAGTATTTGCTAACTGAATCGTATAAATGACAATATTACTTTACAAAGATAAGAACATTATTATTATTAAACATAAATCATTTCAGATTCATAGACAAACAACGCTTGCGGAAGGCAATTATAGTAAAATGTAAGTATAATGTTTTATTAATTAGACTATCTCTTATTAAACTACAAATGATGAGATCTCGAACCACCAAGATCTATGAATGCCATGATTAGTCACAGTATTTGCTAAACTGATTAATTCGTACGAAAAAGTAATTGATAGAAAACGAGAAGTACAGTTAATATAGTTTGTGTTTTGTCTTTTTTTTTTTGTATAGACGATTGGGATCTAAGGACGATGCTTAAAAGTTAACGCTCCGCAAGAGAGGTAAGGAATTTACTTATCGATGTCCAAAATTAAATGATTTTCGCCTTACATGTCTATGCCGTCGTGATGATTCGATCACCAAGATCTATGAGAGCCATGATTTTGAATTTGCTACTTCTGAACATAGCGTATTTGACTTAATTATTGTACTTGTATAAAAGAAACAGTAGAAGTATATGTATTTTTTATATTTTGTGCAGGTTAATGATCGTAGGAGGACGACGGATACTTTTGGATTGAACTGAGAATACGAAAAAGAATAGCATAATAATATAGTAGTACGATGTAGCAATTCGATATATGTTTATTTTACATATGCTAATAAAAACATGGATGATAAATACGGCTTTCTTTTTACTTTTTCCTCTTTTAGAATCGTTACACGTAGTTGTATCAATATTTGTCGCAGCAATTTATTGAAAGTGATATGGTTTCTTCGTCAGAATTATACATTTAGAGAGATCGCGATACGATACGACGGCCATCAACTTCTTCGGTACGACGCTCGTCTGCCGCGCAGTGTCGTTTGACACCAATCGTGACATTTATCTAAATTAAGCGAAATCCAATAACTATTTAAATTGGGAAATTGCACATTAGTCGAAAGACAGTTATGACGAAGTTTGCAGAAAGGCGAAGCAGAAGGACATAAACAGTCGATTAAAGACGACAGTGTGTATGTAGGGTTTTACGATTGCCGATTTTAGTCGACGCTCGACCGTGAGCATATATTCAGGAGGATATATTCGGCGGCAGTCGACTCTCGTACCGACGAGGTTAACAAGATTATAATGCACGAGGTCATTGATAGTTCATTTTTGTCCCTTATTTTTACTAGAAAACTCTCGCGTCTTTTATTACTGGACACATTTGAAATTCCATAAAGAATCGAAGTAGATAAATTACATAAAAATTGTATTTAAATTTTACCCGATATGCTAAATATAACGTACGATATGGAACTGAGCAATATTAAATTTCGAAGTAAAGCTAACAATTGATTTGTCTTGAACTGTTTGATCAGATTTATGGAAGGTTCGACTCAAGTTACTAGGTTTGATTTAAACAGATTAAATGCTGATTTGATCAGCGAACGACTGAAACGTAACGGTAGTTCTTATTTTAGTATCGTTTGCCAAGGAATAGTAGGTAGCTTTTGAAAAATGATACCGATACCGACTACGCAAAAGATCTGTCCGATTTCGATTAAGAAAGATCAATCGAAGCTGGTACTTGTTGGCAATCGTATTTCTTACAAGTATGGACAGCGATAACTAATTTCGGTAACCGACTCGGAAGCGATTCAGCTTAAATAATAACTAGAAGTTTCTTCTTTCTTTTTTCTCATATTGGCAAAATATAAAGCGTTTCGTTACCGTTGGATCGAAGATAAAAGAGTTCCGATGGCAAGTATCGATGCGATGCCCTTCTTTCCCAACAGTCGTATAATTTTCACAAAAGGCTGGGATATTTGCGCGAAGAATTTCAATTTCGTCAAGCGGCGGTGGCTGCATGTTTAATACTTATTCGATATCGGCTTAATATCACATCGTGGTATTAGCATTTTATTAACGTTGGTCACGAGCGAAACGGCGGCTCTTTGTTCGAAACCTTTCGCAAAGAAAATAGTTTTCCGAGTTTGTACTCACGTACTAGCGTTCGTGTTTTATTAAAAAGAATCGCTGCTACGTTCTCGTCGTTAATCGGATTCGTTCGCGATTCCTTTAACCATGCTCGATAAGGAAACTCCGCTTTCGTTGACACGTTTCGAGGGAATGTGTCGTAGCCCGCGAAGGAATTTAATATTCGACGTAAGGATTTCAAGAGCGACGTTCGAAACTCGTAACAAAATGGTATCGATGACACCGAGTAGTGCCATCTTTTAAACTTTCGAAGGTCTTTATACAGGAACGTTCGAGCGTTGGATCGATGGAACTGTATTTTCGGCGCGTTAGGCGTACCAGGATCATTTCTATTATCCTTCGATCCCGTAATAGGCAGATTCAGCTACGGGATCGCGTAGTGGCAAGGCTGAAAAGTTGGAAGAGAAGCGTCTCGCGTTTTTTTCCCCCTTTCGTCCCCTGAGGAGAGTTTAACGAGACACCACTTTTCATAATTCGAGGAACGAACTCTATCGTTTTTCCGGCGAGGAGCGCGCGTGAGCCTCGATCGATTTTCTTAACCGTCTTTTCTCCCGTGCCTTGAAGCTGCTCTCGGCCGCAAAAGAAAGAAAATAAGGCTGCAATGACAGAAGGTTTCACGGTGGGGCAGACACTGCTGCCTGCCTGCCACGAGCACTTCCAACCTTCTACCCTATAGCCAAAGAGTATCCGGACTGCGAGAAGGACGAGGACGGACGGATGGCAGGTCGGCGTGCGAAAAGAGGATGGAACGGCGAGATGACGAAAAGAGCCAGGGAGAGAGAACGACGGAGAGACATAGCGATGGAAAAAGAGAGAGAAAAAAAGAAAAGAAGCGCGAGGGGAGGAGAAATGGGAAGAAGGGACGAGAGAGGAGGACGGACGAAGACGTAAGTAGGTGGAGTGGTGACGAAAACTGAGAGGGAGAATTGGGAAGGGGACAAGAATCAGAGGAAGGAAGAAGGAATGGGGGGAAAAAAGGGAGAAAAGGATGGAGAGGTTAGGCGGTGTTCTGGTAGACGAGGAAAAAAGAAAAGAATCATGAATAATGCAAGAGTGAAAGCCGGTTGAAACAATTGCTGGGCGTCGCCCTACTCCTGAAATTACATCATCAGATTTTCCGCGAAATTAAAACATTATATATTCCACGGTCTCAGACTTCTCTCGCTATGGCCACTCGTCTTCTTCTCTCGGACGTTGCGCTTCTCGAGCGGTTCCCTATGACGTGGGCGGACAAAAATCGTCGATCGAACGTACGTTCGCGCGGCCACACCGCGGTAATACCGCTACGCGAGCCACGCGAAATATCCTAAAAAGAAGTTGCCTCGAGTTACCAACGCCATTCGCCTTATTCCCATCGATTTTCTTCTCCTTTGATCATTTGTTTTAGTATCTTGTATTAACGCGTAAAAGATCAAGGTAATTGCGGCGAGCGAAGACTAAAAAACCTTTGAATCGGCACGTTTAATGCTCGTCGAGGAGCGAAGGAGATAATCTTTGAGATAATCGACAGCAACCGGGGAAATTATACATATTTTCACGTTGCATCGCGTAAACTCGTGCTCCTTACCTGCGAGGTTCCCAAGGTTCTAGGCTCGCGTTATGCACGTTGTACGTTATACGTTTGGCGGAATGCAATTTACCAAGGAATTCTAAGTAAGTTAAAGATAAGAGTTCTGCTGTAAGTAGCATCGTGCTAGATGTTCGTACCGTGCGGTGTCCCGATGCCGCGAGACCGAAAACTTTCTGCAAATATTAAACGATCCACGGCCGGAGGTGTGCAAGTTCGTTAGGCCATTAGAAAGTTTTCCAGCTACGTGGCTCGATTTCCCACTGTTTATCGTTCTCGCACGCCTAAACGCATCCTTAATTCTTTGCGATTTCAAAATACCCGCTTCGAACTTTAAACGTTTTCGACTTACAGCCTTGACATTCGATGCACCGTTGTGGACCGGTTTCGCTTGGAAACGAGCTTCGGAAATTCGCTATGTTAAAACGTCGAGTACGAGGATTTTATTTAAAAGCGCCGCTAGAAATTCGTATAAATCTACCAATTGGCTAGTTCGAAAGCTTACCGCGATTATTAGGATGAAAAACAACGATCGCCGTAAAACTTCTAAACGAATTTCGAACGCGATCGATTATCTCGTTATACGGTGTATCGAGATTCCGTGAATTATGTGTTTACAGTCGCCTGATTTTTATTGGGCCGATATTTATGCACGATATAAAACGCTGCTTATTAACGCAAACAAGTTATTAAAATATCGCGTGATTGCGTTTTATTTGATGACGTATTTTCCTCGAATTTATGCGTTATTTTTCTAGCGGGAAAAATCTAGATCGATCGAAGAGCGAGATCGTTTCCGAGTAATTCAAATGTTTACTATATCGCTGGCATGTTAACAAAGGGTAAGAGTAAAAGAATATGATTTACGAGCTATCGAATCTTGCGGTGATTCCCAAACGTTTGCGACGAGCAAACGCTCGCAGATTTATGGACCGATCGGCCAGAATTATTATCCGTAATTTGATAGAAATACAACGACGTGCACGGGGCAAACGCTGATCGATTGTTTATAATTAATCGAGCATTTGACTAATCTCTCTAATCGCGCTATTACGCTATTATTATTGGCGCAGTGTGCGTATTAGGCGAGAACCAGCGGTTGGCTTTATCAACCGACTAAATATTACAATAATAAATTCGTGTGCCTACTTTGCTGCAGCGCGCTCTCAACTTTACTACGAACAGATAGTTTAAAGCTTACAGCGATACGCATATTTGTCGAGAAATTAGATTCGAGTAATTTACTCTGCGCGGTATCGATAATACGCGATGCGAATAACAAGGCGATGTAAATACGATCGAGAGAGAGAGAAGAACAGATACGTAGACTGTTGAGAAATAGAAAATTTCATATACATGGTCGACCTTGCGATTTCGAAAGGCGCGCTACGGGATGTGTATCGATGGGACTGGGCCTGTACGTATAAAGCGTTCGATATCACCGAGCGGAATACACGAAAATATCGATGGAGATTGATAAAATATTGACACTGCATTAGGGAACGTGGGCGAGAAAAAGGGCGCCGTTACTTCGCTAAACGCTACATCGAACGACGTTGACGTTCGATGTACCGGCGAAAAATAAAGTAAAATCGAACGTTCACCGTAAACATCGGACCAGACGTTTATCCCTAGCTTATACGTCACGCGCAAATCCGTATCGATATTATTTCGCCAGTTCTCTTCGTTTCATTTTTATTAGGAAGCGCTCTATCGTCCGTGTTAGCTCGATCGCGACGTCGACCACTGTTTATTTGCAAATTATGGCCACTAATCTGGCGCTAAAGGGAAGCAAAGTTTTCTAGATGGTCGTGTGGAAGAGCGCGATGGTGCGCGCGCTTGTACAGCCGACTCACACCGACGCGCTCCACCGAATCTCTGTTCCACTCTATGACCCTTGCCCGGTACCTCAATGGTGTTGATTGCTTATCTGAATATGCATAATCGTGGCGATAATGACAGCGCTCGGCCAAACTTCGGATGCGTCGCGCATATGTAACTAGAGAGCAATTCCCTTATGCCGTATCCACCGGATCTGATCGTGGACAATGAAACGGTTCCGGTACCGTTGCCGGCTGTTACGGCCCGTTTAATCGTTTCGAGCGAGATAGCTGGCTCGGTGTCCTTCCTTTTCCTTCCTTTTCCTTCCTTTTCCTTCCTTTTCCTTCCTTTTCCTTCCCCTTTATTTCCTCCGATTCTCCTTCCGCGTACGAACGCTCGTATCGCCTTTCTTTCTCGCTACCTTTGCTTTTTTAAGTAAGACGAACTTCGTTTCCAACGTTCGCCAGACAGTTTCTTATTGAGAGTTCGCAGACACTCGAGAACCGAATCGAAGGATAAGTGGAAATTACAAATTCGAAAGTTTCTCGGTCCTGCATTTCAAGTTCCAGCGGTCTCGAACGTCCCGAACGTTCGTTCGCCGCAGTTCCAAGCGCGTCCGATTCGGAAAAACCGACTGGACGCTATCTCGCGTGTGGGTTGCGGCTAAAGGGACGAACCCGAGAACGTCGATAACCTTGTTTTCGGTGGTTCGCCGAATTTCACATCGACCACGGAGTCTCGACGGTTTCTCAGTTTTACGATATCGCTCTTGAGAAACTAGAGAACGCTCGAACGTTCCCTCTGTTTCTCGGACCCTCCGTTCCTTCACCGAACATAACGCCAATTTTCCAACCAAACGTTTTATTTCCAGAGACGCTTAGCGAGTCAAGCTCGTGTTACAAGATTAGTTCTGTTTTGAATAGGTACGTTCGGTAGTTTTGAAAGAACGTCCCGATAGGCTAAGATAGGCGCGGCAGAGAACGAGTGGACAAACAGTAGACGTAAACGCCAGAACAGTATCGAACGAGACGAGCAAAATAGCGGTACAAGTCGTTACGATGGTTTTCCATAGAAATGTTTTCCATAGAAATATCTAGGAGAATGAAATACGCTTATTTTACTTCTTAGTTCTTTGATTCGTTTCATGTTCCCTATAAAAAAAAAAAAAAAAAAAAAAAAAAAAAAAAAAAAAAAAAAAAAGAAGAAAAAGAAAAAAAGAACTTTCCCAGTTTAAGACTCAAAGTATAAGCTAGCCTTGCAAGGATTCCAAGTTTCAAATGGAGTTCTTACTTTAATTTCGTGGCGGAGACCTACGACGTCGAGATTCTCGATTTCGAATTTACGCGTAAGAATTTCTAAGAATCTCGTTCGGAACGAAATTCTTATAGCCACGGCGTAAGATGTAACGTCAAGGCCGGAAAAAGAATATTACCGGATTCTCGTTTGGCACTTTCGGTAGATTTCTCGTCTATAAGTTGCAGTCGCCAGTGATTTAATACGACAGCATCCGAGGGACGAGACGCACGAGGAAAAAAAACTTTTCTTTCTTCTCGTCTTGTCATCTTGTCACCGAGATAAAATTCGATAAAATTTGCTGGCCGTTGCAAAAATCTTTGGACGTTGATCGGTGAACGGAGTTGCGCGACCAACTTTCCTAATTTTGACGAGAATATCTGAAACGTAACGCGATCGTAAATCCGTTACACCAGTAATTTAAATTCCTTTATCTGAGCTGCTTTGACGCGATGTGTTCGTTGCGAAGAGATTAAAAGTTTGCCGGAGTAATTTCGATGAAATCTCGCGGGGCAGGCGGCGTCGTCCGATGTCTCGGCTGCCTGGAACAACGGTTGCCGGTGCACGCGCGTCCATAAATTCTGGAAAATAGTTCGTGTAAATAAGGTTACAGGGTGGAAAAGGAGCAGCATCGTTTAAATACTCGAATTATCTTCTTCCATCGCGAGCGCTCATCTTTTCTTCTCTCGCTGATTCGACAATTCGATCGAGAAGCGTTTCGGGCAAAATTTGCCCCGATAAAACGATAAACTGTACAAAATGTCGAATAATTTAGAACAATTTAAATTCGAACTCTCGTACGTATATCGGGAAATCGAATCGCCTACGAAGAACGATTACGATCGAAATTACGTTCTTCGAATCTTCAAACACAGTGTCCATGCGGAAAGTTCCGCAGCGGTGATTAATAGCGATTAGCATAGATTAGTAGAGGACGATTGGCAGCGTCAATTACCCGATTTCGCGTTCATCGATAACGTCCGTTGTCCGTAAATTATTTACGCGATGGCGGCGTAATTAAAGGGCAATCGCGTAATTGCAGACGCGAAACGAACGCGATCGATCGGCAAGAATCTTATCACCGAGACATTTTTGCGTTCACAGACGATCGAACAGTCGGATTTCTGACGGAAACCGTTCGGACAGGCATCCTCCTTCGAACCAAGTTCTGATAAATTGAAAACGAACGAGGTCCGAACGTGCGGCAGGACCGTCGCGATTTTGTATCGAATATTCCACGTACGAATTCGAAGCGGCGTATTCAAACGATTTTAATAACGTAATCGCGCCTGTGTAAGCGAAATATAAAAACAAACGCGGCAAGATGACAAATATGGAACGCTTTTTGCATCTCATGTTCGTTCCACGTTTCTGCGTCAGCCGAACAGAAATTGACTTTTGTACGTCGGCGATTTTCTGACCTTTGGACGAACGTTGAACCTTGAACGCTGTTCGTTCTACGCGAATACGCGACGTTTAGTTTGCGAAAATTGCGAATCTTTGACTCGAGAAAGTACGAAGAATGGAAAGAAACGCTTCCGAATGTGTAAACCGAATATTTCTAGCGATATTTATTAAGTAAGAGTACCGAATGAATCGACTACGAGCCTTGCGCGCGATCGATAACTGGCGGCAACAAGCGAGATAATTTTCCAAAGTATTTGTCGCGGAAACGAATTAAACGCCAAGGACGCCAGGACTCGCTAAACGCGGCACTTTTTCGACCGCGTTAACCGTGTTTTACGTTTTACTCGGTTTTAATAGAAATTAAATTACTCTTCGACTTGGCTGTAACACGATTTACACAGCGCAAACCTTTTATTTCCTTATATATTCGAAATACAGGCGAGCGTATCGATCTCAGTTATGCTACCACAGAGCAAAACGAATTTGCAACAACTACTTAATTTAATTAGGTCGCTGGAATATTAGAAAATGTATCTTGTTAATGGCACTCAGCGCCCTTTGTAACTGCCCTAGCAAGCGTTATAACGATCTTGCCGAATTAATTGCTTCGAGATCAAACATTTTCGCGCGAACGAGCGAACAAATGCGCGTTTTCTCTGCGCGTAAAGGCCAGGCCTCGGTCGGATTACTTTGGCGCAGCTTCGTATCGTCAAAGCGAACGAATCGCATCGACAAATAGCCATTCGCGATTCTTAGAAATAACGTAAACGACGAATCATCGTGCCGATTCCTCGTATAAGGTTCGCGAGTCTGATCTCGCTTCGACGATTCTCACGTACAATATCGAAATTCTTCTACCTTACTTCGTTACTTCACTACGCAATTACCTGCTTCGTTGATCGACGCGTTTCGAATCTTTTCTAATATCTGATTCCGATATCTATACCTATGAGTTCTATAGCGAATTCGCTATACGGTGACAAACCGTTAGACGTAATTACAAGAACATAGACAGGACGAGGCAGGTGGACGAACCTATTTCCTGCGATAATGGTATCGTTATCGAAACTCGAGGCACGCGTCGCAGTTTCGTTCGTTCGATAGTTTGGTAATAAAATTACGATATTTCGTAATAAAATTACACAGCGAACCAATTATCCGAAAAATTTGAAGCTTCAACGGATAATCGACGAGACGGTTTACCCATATTTCCACGCTGAATCGCGAAACATTGGAAAAGAATCGCGATTCATCCTCGGGTTGATAACGTACGCGCAAATAATTCCATTATTTATCCATTTCTTTCGTCATTTGGTGAAAAAACTTCGGAAAAAGTGCTTCGAAGAAATCACGACCTACGTAAGCGTTTACCTACGTACATTCGCGCAACTTGGAGCGATCGTTGTTATTAGCACGGTTGGCGGCTGCGATATTTGCTCGCGTATTGTTATCAGTTGCATAATACGATATTTCTTTTCCACTTTTCGTGAGAACGATCGGATTTATATTTGGCGGTAGGATAATTCACGGCCGTCCAGACCAGACGCGTCTCGTGTATCTTTGATCCAACGTTCTTTCCTTCTTCGTGTTTATTATATCCGACGTATTCTCGCGAAAAACAAGCAACGTTATTTTTCTGGCAAAAAATCATCACGCAACAGAGCTACTTATCCATTAACGGGCACGTGTCGTCGCAATTCTCAGAAGGTGTGGACTGCGTTTACCTTTCGTTTCGTCCCGTCCCGTTCCCTTCCATGCCGGTGGTTCTGTCGCGTCGTTCCGCCGTTCCTCGTCTCGTCCGAGTCCACGCGACCCTCCGCGGAAGTCGAAGCAGGACAGCCGC